CCCAGCACCCACATCAGGAGGCTCACAACCATCTCTAACACCCAGCACCCACATCAGGAGGCTCACAACCATCTGCAACTCCAGTTCCGAAGGACCTGATAGCTTCTTCTTGATTTTATAGGCACTGCATTTGTGGATATGCACATGCATGCACATATACGCATGCACGCATGTGCATGCACACACATACACACACACACACACACACACACACACGGGGGAGAGGGAGATGGAGGGAGGGAGGGAGGGAGAGGAAGAAAAAGGGAGAGGGAGAGGGAGGGAGGAAGGGAGGAGGGGGGGCTTTTCCAGTCTCTCAAACTTCCAGCTAAATAAGCTTCTACTGTTCCCACGTTGCCTGGTTTTGTGTGTTCTGACATAGCAGCCCATGTTCGGTTTTTTGGAGGCAGTGTAGGGGAAGGACAAGGTCATGGGGTGAGGACTGGGTAATGTGAGGCCAGTCTCTGGACCTGCACGTCACCTGCTGTGTCACCTCCAGCAAGTTACAACCCTCTTTAGTCCTTGACTTCCTGACCAGAAAAACAGGCACATAGACAGCACCCAGCTGTGTGAAGTGGCATCTCTTTATCTTTACATGGGGCATAGCAGATACCCAAAGAGTTGCCTTGAACTAATGGTTTAACTGTCCCCTTTCTCTACTGCAGAAGTGTCCCTGTGATGCAGTCTGAGAAGGCAGGGACGTAAGCCACCATATTTGATCTCATACGGCTGCTGCTTTCCTCAGCTAAATATTTTCCTGTGAAGCTGGTAGGTGAAGTTTGCCCTTCAGGCTTTCCAGGAGGACAATGACATTCTTGTGACTTTGCTAGGACACTGGATTCCGAGTCTGGGAAATAGAACTCAGAAAATGAGTAAGTGGGTATGTGCACGTATCAAGATAGAGATCTGGTCTCTCATCTCCACATGGAAACGATTCTCCAGTGGTTTGTCATCAGGGGGTGATAGTTAAGAGGTTTTTTTCTAGGGGATGGGCAGGTCGCTCAGTGGTCAGAGCACTGCTGCAGAAGCGTGAGGATCTGAGTTCAAATCCCCAGAACCAGTGTAAAAAGCCAGGTGTGGCCTTACAGATGCTCGTAACTCCAGTGCTGTGGGCAGTGGCGACAGGAGGTTTGGTGGGTCTTGCTGGCTGCAGACCGGTTCTGGGTCAGTGGGAGACTCTGTATCGAGGGAATGAGACAGTGATAGGGCAGGGAACAGCATGCTGACCTCTGGCCTTCACACACACGTGCATAGACAGATGCACGCACATACTTGCACACGTCAGCAGACAGAGATGATGTATATTAGAAGAACCCATAATCAAAACACCAATGATTCGCTGAAATAGCTTGGTTTTCCAAAAGTCTATTCCAGTAGGGCTGTTCAAAGCCCACGAGTTGGGGCTGGAGAGATACTTAGTATCAAGTGCTACTGCTCAAGCCCGAGGACCTGACTTCAGTTCCCAGCATAAAAAGCTGAGTATGGTCGCATGTGCCTTCTATCCCAACACTGGCGGTTGGGGGAGATAATGGAGGGGCAGAGATGGGTATGCCTCTGGGTCTTCACTGCCAGCTGTTCTAGCCTACTTGGTGAGTTCCAGGCCCATGAAAGGCCTTGTCTCAAAAAACATGGTAGACAAGTCTTGACATTGGAAGCTGATCTCTGGCCTTCCCATCCAAGTGCACATACATACATGTACACATGTATTCATAGACACCTGCACACACCAAAACAAAACCCTAATTTAAAACCTGCCACCCCCTGCCACCTACCCGCTTTCCAGAACCTACTAGTTAAATAAGGTTTTCTGTATCTATGAAGAGTGTGCACACCAGAGAAGAGGCCTTCTTTCTCCTCTTACCCCTAGCCACTAACCCCTCCTAGAGCAGCAGGCACTGTGGTACCTAGGATGTCAAAGCAGGCACCGCTCTCCAGACGGTGTTTTCTGTACAGGTTCTTCAGGACCTTGGCACTGCCGAAGCGCTTGAAGCGGCTTTTCACGTTGTTGTAGAACCACTCCAGAGACTGCGTCCTCAGAAGCCTGTCAGACAAGCAAAAGTTAGACTGTAGCTATAACCCTCGGCAGCCCCCTCCTCAAGGAGGTGGTATTTGTGTCTCAGCGTCCAGAAACTTTGGATGCTTCAGGTATCCTGATATCTGTCACCATGTGTGTGGAGCCCAGCCGGCCTGCTCTGGGATAGAGACCTTTGGTGGGCCAAGCCCTGAGAGGAGAATGGGGTTATCAGCCACCAGCTGGCCAGACATACACAGGGGGCCCTGGGTGAGAAGCAGGACCCATCTGAATCTACCCAGTGAGCCAGTGGATGCTTGCTATTTTAAGCCACTAAATTCTCTGTGGTTTATTAATGCAGAAAAGCTAACTCACAGAAACATCTGTTTAGCAATAGGCTTTTCTAGTTGATACTCTTACTGAATTACCAGCACTTTTAATCCAGCTTGGAGAAAGAAAAAGAACCAATGAGCCTGCAAAAGGCTCCAGTCTCTTTTCACTCAGCATGAAGCACCACGGGAAGGCTATTTCCCCATGAACAAGGCAGCCATGGTTGGTGTAGACAGTGGGAGTTTCCTTCATGTTTGCTGAGAACAGACTCTAAAGCCCTTCCATTTGAGGAATAGCTTTTGTAACATTTCTTACTGTGAATGTAAAAATACACACTCTCTTTGGAAAATTCAGAAAAAAGAATATAGAGATTTCCAAAAGAAAAGGAAAAAAATCCAAATTCAACCAAAGAACAAACATGAGTCCCGAGTGTGGACACCACCCTTGGGTTAGTGCCTTGAAGTCTGATCCACAGAGAAGCTCCTGTGGAGCTCTTATTGCAAGTTAGGCCTTTGGCTTAGCTCAGAGCTGAAGCAATAGGGAAGCGCCACGAAGCAAAGAATCAGAAGAAAACAGTAAAATAACCATGATGTATCCCTTTAAAACCCCACCACTTAGCAGCACACCGCAAGCCCTTCAGTGAGACGGTTGGGTGAGCACTTTTCTAGTCTCTGTTTGCATGGCATGACTGCTGGCAAACATCGTGTCTTTTTATTCCAAGACAGACTAGACTCCTAATTACAGCTCAAGAACAGCATCGAAAGAATTAGAATCTCATTATAACCTCACCTAGGAATGCCAGACTGACCTGGGTTGACTGGATTTAAAGAGCACAGCTGTGAGGAGGCCTGCAAAGAATTCTTCTCTGGGATAGAGAGACCTTTGGTGGGCCAAGCCCCCATGGATTTCCCTGCTCCATGGCTGGTCCTGGGGCCAGCGGCATGAGCGCCACCTAGGGGTCTGGTAGGAAAGTGTAGTCTGTAAGGCAAGTTTGGCTCGAATCCATTTCTGTTGATGTCACTGCTTCCCAGGTAACCAACAGCACAATCGCCACCTAGAGGCGCAGTGTGGAAGCACAACCCCAGCCAACCACTAACCCCCCAGCCTTGCCGGGTTAAAATTTGTGTTTAAGCAAAATTCTCCATAGGACATCAAAGCTTGGTGACCAGAGACCTAGCAAAATTTACTGGGCGATTTTAAAAGTAGATTGATAACCTTGTTTTAAACTTTAACCATAAAAGAGAGAGCCAGTAACTCACTTCATCCCTTTTTCTGAGGGAAATGAACCAGACTTGGTAACACACAGCTATAAAGATGAATATAATAATTGAAACCAAACTCTCAAATGCAGGTCCAAGAGTTATAAGAAAATGACATCAAGTCTTTACAATCAGCCAGGTTCTCAAGTGACCTGTGATGGTGGTGTTCAACTGACAGTACTTCTCCAATAAAATTAAAGAATGCCGTGCTTAAGACCCACAGCCAGACTCAAGGCTGCCTCCATGACACACAGCTGAGAAAGCAGAAACAAGCTGAACTGAATGGAAACTAAAGTCTGCAGGCCTGTGAAGTATTTGCCCCTGGGAGAGCAAGGAAACATTTCTGGGGATTGCTATGCACTGATGAAGACGTGCTCCTGTCCCCCAAGAATGGGACTAGCATTGGGCTGCATTTTGTCCTCTTCTACCAAGAGCTAGCTACTGACTTAACGGAGATATCAGTGAATATGGGGCCAAATTTTATGAGGTACATGTTCTGGCCTAATGCACTGATGAACCAATTATAGACTTTGGAGATATATATATAAAACCAGAAAATGATAAGATTTTTTTCTTCTAAAGAATTAGAGGGAAAGATGGAAAAAAAAAACCCAAGTTGCTTTCTCTTATAGAGACACTGCTAAGAGCCAGTTATAAGGCCTTTGACTGATCACTGAAGCCCCAGAGCCCAGAATTGGCATCAGCTTGGGATACTGGTGTGCAGCCACAGGGTCCCCTCCTAGCCACTGTCTCTGCCTTCTGCCAGCAGAGGCCTGAGGAGCCCAGAACTCCCTGGCTGGGCCTGTCACCTGCCAATATCAGCTGACACAATTGCCTGCTCAGTATTGAGGAGAAGCTCCAGAGACAGCCACGCCCACTCAACCCTATTCTGGATTGACTCCCTCAATATGGTGTCATGCAAGAAACTCAAAGGTTAATGACACGATTCCCAAAACACAAATCAAAACCTAAACAGCAACAAAATCTTCTCTTGAGCCCAGTCATAGTCACCGTTCTACTGCTGTGAGGAGCCACCAGGACCAAGGCAACTTATAGAAGAAAGCATTTTACATCCATGTTTGCCTAGAGTTTTAGAGAGTTAGTCCATGATCATTATGGTGGGGGACAGACAGAGAAATAGCTGAGAGCTTTACATCCTAACCTACAGGCAACAGGCACAGACAGGCAGACAGAGACAGACAGACAGGCAGACAGACAGACAGACAGACAGACAGACAGACACTGGGCCTGGCATGGGGTTTTGAAACCTCAAATCGCACGCCCAGTGACACACCTACTTCCACCAAGGCCACATCCACTCCACACCTCCTAGTCCTTCTCAAACAGTTTATCATCTGGGGACTAAGCATTGAATAGATGAGCCCACGTGAACCATTGTTATTTGGATCACAACAAGCCTTAACAAGGAAAAAAAAAATCAGTACTCATCAGGTTTATCACGATGGCTGATGTAATGGCGGGGGACGAGTTATCACAATACTCAGTCCTGGGTGACTTTTAGAACTTAACACTTATTATCAGCACCCAAACCATTAGATCTAAAGTGCCTCCTCCTTCTTTTAAAGACTGTGGATATGATCATTAAATAAATGCCAAAAACAGTCTGGACAGGAAAACAACATTCAAGTCTTACATTGTCTTTTTTACTTTTTTTTTTTTGAAACATCTTACTATGTAGCTCAGGCTGGCCTTGAACTTGAGATCCTCCTGCCTCCACCTCCTGCGTGCTAGGATTACAAGCATGCACCACACGTCAGGCTCCTTACATTTCAACCTAATGATTAACGTGTTTCTTAGTATTTGATAGTTATGAAAGGCAATCTACCCGACTACCCCAGGGCTGGCTGATTTCCACTTGCAGGGCCCCTCTAAGCATCTTTACCTCAGCAGATCTGACTGAGGATTGGGAATGTGCCTCTGAACACTTCCAGGTGAGAGAGACCACACTTTGAGGGTTAGTGAGCTAGAAATAGATCGGCAGCTCCTGAAGAGCCCAGGGGTTGACTCAGAGCCTGTCACTTGAGTATACCTGTCACTCGTGTGTTTGAGAAAGAAGATTCCTACAGTCGGATGACAGAAATGCTCTGGAGGACCACGTCAGAGCAATCTATTCTGAGAAGTCGAGAAAGAGAGACACAGACTCAAGATGGAAAAGAACAGCTAGCACTTGGGGACCCCTGAGTTTGTCACTGTGAATCTGCAGACATACGTGGCTTGGAGGCTTGAAGTGTCATGCTCGGTTGACAGGTGACAGTGGCTATTCATGTGACCCAGCTTGCTAAGGTGAAGAAGTGGGAGCTGACAAAGAGCAACAAGGGAAGGAAACTTAAGGCTAGAAGCAAGAACACTGGAGACTGACCCATGGACTGTGCTTATACCCAAAGCCCAACAAAAGCAAACTCCTCCAGCTTTGTGATACTATTCCTAACAAAAGCCACTTTAGGAAAGAAGGGCTGATTTTGGCTCACAGTACAAGGGTACAGACTATGATGGCAGGGGAGGCATGGCCATGGGAATTAAAGGCAGCTGGACACTTTGTATCCACAATCAGGAAGGAGAGAGAGAGAGAGAGAGAGAGAGAGAGAGAGAGAGAGAGAGAGAGAGAGA